GACCCCCCAGATGTGTGACCCCCCCCAGATGTGTGACCCCCCCCAGATGTGCAGCCCTCATCCCCCGATGGGGAGCCTCAGGTGTGTGACACTGACGTGTGACCCCCCCAGATGTGTGACCCCCCCCAGATGTGGAGCCCCAGATGTGCAGGGTCTCAGATCCCTCTAGCGCCTCTGACACCACCGGAGTCCCTGGCGCGGGGGACATTTGGGTGACGCTTCTCGGGGCAGGGTGACACCAGGGGCCGCCTGTGGGAGATTTCGGGTTACATCCCCCCAAAAACCCACCCCCCCAGATTTACTGCTGCGAACCCCCCCGGCAGCGCCCGGGGCACGGCAGGAGCGAGGCCCGGCCATTCCCACCCCTGGCAGGGACAGCGGGCTCGCCCCACCCCGTCCCAGCTCCTCCCAGTCACTCCACTGGGTAAACTGGGAACGGCTGCAGATACACTACAAACCCTCTTTTTGTTGTTTTTCTCCTCAATTCCCAGCCAGAGGCGGCAATTCCCTGCACGCCCCCAACCCGGCTGGGTCCCCCTCGCCCTTCCCCAGGCTCGGGAAGTCTCCAGGAGACACCAACCCCTTGGGAAGAACTGAGGAACGGGCTCGGAGGCTTCTGGAGACACAGAAATATTTCCCCATTTCAGGTTTTGAAACCCCCAGCATCAAAATGTGCAAAATGTGTGAACTGACCCCAAAGCGCAGCTGCCTTGGGGAGGGAAATGGCCTCAATCCGCACCCCCTGTTCTGCTCCTGCGGAGGGCACTCCACACCCAGCACGGGGACAGTTGTGGGGACACCCGATCGTGCCCTACCCCAGAGACAACACGGGCTTTGGGGGTTTTGGGGGCTCACCAGGCAGAGGGGGACCACAGAGAGTCTGGAATTCCCGGTGACACATCGCTCCCGGCCAGGTGCCACGAGGCCGCGGGGCCGGGAAGCAGCGGCGGCTCCGGGGGCTGGGAGCCAGCCAGGGACAAACCACCAGCCAGCCTGGATCCATCCTCACGTCACCAGCCCGGGCTGCGGTGTACCCGGATCTGTCACCTAATTGCTGGGGACCAGCGTCTCTTCGTCATTTGGGGGATGGCTGGGGACGTTTAACCCCTCAGGGGCTGGGAAAGTGTCGGATCCCTGGGCCAGACCAGGGGCATGGCTTGACATGGGTGTCGTGTCATGAAGCACAGCCCCAGGGTTGTAGCTCTCAGGGATGCACAAATCCACGAGCCCTGCCCTCCACGGGCTCTCCTTGGTGGTGACAGTGACAAGCAAATGTCCCAACTGTCACAGCTGCTGGGCTCACACACCGTTCTGGGGTGACACAGGGACAGACAGAGGGATGCTTGGTGACACCTCAATGTCATCCTGCCTCCACATCTTGCTTGGTCTGTCCCTGGTCCATGGTCACCCTGGTCCATGATCACCCTGGTCCATGGTCACCCTGGTCCATGGTCACCCTGGCACCAGCCCTGCTGCTCCCTTTGTGCTGGGTGTCACTGGGAGCAGCATCTCCTCTCCCACCCCTGGCTGTCCCGTTTCAGTGCTGCCCCAAACCCCTCACTTCCCTGGGAATATCCTTGGAGAATCCCTCCAAGTCCCAGCCCTGGTGCTGTGGGCTCTGTAGCCATGGGGGATCCTGGCCCACGCTGCCCTGGCTTATCCTGGTTTTCCCAGTGTGCTGCTGATCCCATCCCTTCACAGGAACAGGCCAAAATCCGTGGGGCTTTTTTAACCCATTGGATCCCCCAACGCCCCGGTGACGTCCTTGGAGGCTGCTTTGTTTCCCCTCTCCCATTTCCAAAGGCTGGTGGAGGTGGTGAGTGGGTGACACCTGGGGGACTCTGGCAGTGACGTGCCCGTGGCTGGTGGCTCCTGGCTGGCCCATGACCTTCACACCATCAGTTTTTTGCTTTGAGGAGGTTGAAACAGAATTTTTTTTGATTTCATTGAGGGAGCTGCACGTGCTGCAGAGCGTTGGGGACCCCCCACTTGGGTGATCTGGAGCTGTGATCCCAGGCCAGGGACAGGCCAGGAGCCCTGTGGCCACAAAAAGAGCTGCATTTCCTCCACGGCCCCATGGCTTTGGCCACAAACCTGCGACAACCTCCTTATTTTTAGTGTGAAGAGGGAAAAACCGCCGTGCCCATGGCCCCTCCTGTGTGTGGGACCTGTCCTGTTTTCTTCCCACCATCCGTCATTCTGGCAGCACAGCCCGGGGATTTCCAGGGATGGCAGGGGCTGAAAGGACAGTGCCACCACACAGATTTAATTAGAGGTGATGAGGGCATGCAAATGAGCAGGTTAAATCCTGCTCGAGGGTGGCCAAGCCCCTGAGAATCCTCAGAGGAGATTTGGAGGTGTTTCCCACATTTCCCACGCTCCGGTGCCAGGGGAAGGCTGGATGTTGGGATAAGCATGGTCTGGGAGCCATGGCTGGGTGGGAGAGGGTGAGGAGGGAGGTCAAGGAGGTCACACCTCCACAGTTATTCCATGTTTCCTCTCCAGCATGGGGAATGGGTCTCTGATGCGCTGGGATCCAAGAGAGCCCAAGGAAAGCTGGAAATTGGCTTTTTCTCCTCCAATTTTGGCAATTGGGATGAATTCCCTTATGGAAGAGCTGGTTCTTTACCCCTCCATCCTGCTTCCCAGCCCTTCCCTCCCCTTCATCGCTTCCACATGCAGGGGTAAACCAAATCCAAAGGATTCCCGACGTGCTCCTCCAGAGCAGCACCTCTCAAGTCCTGGGATCTGAGCTTGGGATGTTCCTTCATCTCTAAATCCCCAAAAATTTAGGGGTGAGCCCCAAATCCCCAATCCTGGGATCTGAGCTGCCCAGTGGGGTCTTGGAATGGCAGCAAAAGGTGCTCAGCAAAGCTCGGGAATCCCAGCTCTTCCCTGGAGGAAAACAAGGTGAGCTCCTTGGCTGGATGGAGCACCCGGAGCTGGTGACCCAAACCCATCGTCCCCATGGATGAACCCAGGGACACTGAACTTGTGGCCATCATGGGAAGCAGAATGGGATCAAGGGTGCCAGTGATAGTTTTTCCAGGGAAAACAAAACTTTTCCGCAGCATTTTTCTGCCTCACTGTGTCAGGAACGATGGCAGTGACGACGCACACTCTCAGTTGCAAAGAGCTCTTTTTATTCTTCCAGATCCTCTTTTATAGACAGTTCTGAGAAGGTCCAAAAAACCAACACCCCACCATCACTGGACAGTTGGGAACAACACCCCTTGAGCGTTTCTTGCAGGAAAATGAGACACACAACACCTGCAGAGGTTGTTTTCCCTCTCCAAGGGCTGTTTGAGTTCCTCCTCACGATTTCTCAGGTCAGTGTGAGAAGGTGTTGCTCTGTTTGGAACGGCGAGAAGAACGACACAGACTCTCTTGTGGAGTCAAACAGGAGAATTTCTCTCGGTTTATTACCTCAGGTCTTTTTTATAGAACGATACGTGAAAAGTACAGAAAAGAAAACTCTTATTGGTCAGTGAACTAACACATCACCATCATTGGTCAGTGGGGTTCACCACCCC